TCTTCACTGGCATGGACTTTGACACTATGATATATCTGTCTGTGTAAAACCTCAGTTGTTCATGTAAAATGTTGATTTTAGCAATAGACAGAGGTTGAAAGTCAGCTAGTTAAATCATTTCAGGTATATAAATGAAAGTGACGGTGTTGAACGCACTCATGATCTTTGATTACCACTAGTTATAGAACTATTGTTTGTATTCTTCAATGTTATTGGTTAATGAAAAAGAAAAAGATCATCAAATGTTTTGATCAGTAAACTCTTTTCCAGGTGACCCAGTTCAATATTTCAGGTTCTTTTCTTTATTTTTAAGGAAAAAGATGACAATGGTTCTGGTAGCCATGGCAGCTGGCTGGACTTGGCAATTGATAACAGGACCTGTGAATGGTGTTCTGCACCTTATGATATGAGAAATCAGCTTCCAAATTATGTCAAGGTGCCATTAAATGACTGGCATAAAGATTTATTGTTAGATCTCTGCTACTGCTTTGACTGTGTTCAGGAGTATCATAGGCTCCAGGAAGAATTGGATGATGAAAGTAAAAAGGTATTTGTGCTCCACTGTAGCATGTACATTGTATATTTACGTGGAATTTTTCTGTTGCTCTGATTGGTTAAAATATATGGATGTCAGTGACATGGTACAGTACCAATCAAAGTAAGTTACCAGTTGTCATTTTTTCGAGATGAGACTCTTGTCTCACAACACGAGATTCTTGTCTCATGAAAATTAGTGACTCAACTTTTGTTTAGTCAGGCTTCAAAACATGGTCCTTCAGTTAACACAGTATTGAAAAAGACATTTGCGAGCCAGGGATGGGCTTATGTCCATGATGTAGTAGTTTTGAGCTTTAATGCAGCTACTACGGACCGCAGACTATAAAAGAGAATCTAATAAATGTAGGTTAATGATATACTGTCTCTTTGCTGGTTCCATCATTCAAACATACAGATAACAAAACACAAGTTCATTTTTATCAGTGCAGTGTAAAATCGATATTAAATGTTATACTCTTATCCACTTTCAATTCAGATTTTGCATTTGGTTGATATTCAAAGGCTAGCAAAGACAATAACTCATGCCTTGAACAATGTAGGGGAAAGAGAGGTGTTGCAGGTATGTCTTTCTATAAACAGTAAAGATCTGGACTTTCTGAATGCAAACACACCTCAAAATGTATTAGTTTTACTGAACCTAAAAAAAGATCAATATTTATCTTATGTGCGAATCAGGAGGAGGAAAATTGAAATTCATGGGAGTCATTGTGGAATGAACTTAAGTACATTGTAAATGTAACTAGGGATACCAGGGTTTTCATTAATTATTCAAGTAGAGGGGCATCTGGTATAAAGTAAGCAAGTATTGAATTAGTTGCAGGCCAAAGGCCCGAGCACGTAGGGGGGTCCAGGGGCATGGGGCATGCTCCTCCAGAAAATTTTGAAAAATTGAACTCCCAGGTATGCATTTTCCTTGATTCTGGGAGGGAAATTCTCATTTTGTTGTTAGTCCTCATTTACACTATTCTACTAGAATTAAACAGTGCTAGACATAACAGAATCACTTGCTAAAAGTAATGCGTTACACATTCCATTTTGGTTTTATTCTCTGGTGCTCACCTTTGAGTTGCACGCGCAAGCAGCAAAGAGCAAAGCGATCCGGCTTTGAGTCACACCCGGGAGTCACACGCGCGAGTGGTAAAGAACAAAGCGATCTGGTGGGAAAGAGTCTGGAGAAGAGGCGTCAAGAAAGTGAGCCTGCCTTGATCTCTGTATTTTTTTCATTTCTGCTTCGTCTGAGCGAAGTGAAATACCATTGGTCGAAAAGCGGAAAAGGCGAGAAAACTCAATCTATTATGTTTGATGAGGAGCGATTAAATCCCCATGGAGTCGGTAATTTACTTCACGATAAAAAACAAGTCATCCACATTTAGAGTCAGAGGAAGAGTTGAGTGTGCGTATTACTGATGTTTTAACAAAGTTCCAGTCTATTTCTGGTTAAACTTCAAACTAAAGAGGGAGCGGGAAATAGCAGTTGAAAGTATGTTAATGAAACAAGACGTACTTGTTGTGTTGCCGACTGCATATGGGAAGAATTAAATAATTATTACAAACATACGTGATTACAAGCGGGCAAGGAAACAATACGAAGGCGCTTGCCCGTTTACCAGCATCGTCAAAGACCAGATTGCCAAAGCAAGATCACTTGGAATCCAGTGTGTGGCTTTAGTAGACATAAACTTTGACAGGTTTTCTTTGGCAAAACTTTACCAACAATGGATATCTCACCTACATGTTGTTATGAAAAAGATTTACAATTTTCCCAAGAAATCTGAGCTGCCAAAGTTCATACTTTCGGTGAATGTTAATTGACTCTGTGGTTTCCAGGGTGGAAATAAAAAATTTGCAGAGATCAGAGCAGGCTCTGATTCTGGTTAAATTTCAAACACGCATGTCACATGCAAGAGTTATGTAACAGCAAAGGCTCTTCACAGGGGAAAGGCCAGATGAACACAAAGTGCTACCACCAAAAAACATTTTTCTCGCAAAAGAAAATGATGCGAGGTAATTGACAAAAAAGGGTTTTTAAAGGTAATATTCAACTCACAAAAAATAGTTAATTTTTATTAGAGGCTGACTTGTGTATTTTTTTTTTTAATTTTGTACTTAACATACTTAAAGAATCCAGGTACTCCTTTCAAAGTACATGGGTTCTGGTACCCGGGTCCTGGCTTCTAATCTCAACCCTGAGATCCAGGTTTCTTGATTTACTTTTTTACTGTTTATGAACTGCTTTTTTGGTGAATTCCACAGTGTAGGAAAATTCTTTTACAGATAGCACACACACACACACACAAAAGTAATTAAAAAATAGCACACATGAGTACAGTATGATCGTTGAGAATTTAGACTTAAAATATGTGAAGTGGCCTGTAACACAACACAAGTCAGTGTATGAATACTTGAGAAATTTATATTGACTTTTCATACAGGTACCTACATGTAAATGGTATGAACTGTACAATACATGGAAACTGAGATATCTGTGACAAAAATTCCAATGAACTTGTCATCTTCGAACAGAAAGTATGGTTTCTTGCATTGTCAAAATGTTGTGCAGATGTTTCCTCAAATTCCCATCATTAAGTCTCATTGGTACTGGAAAAAACCAAGAGGACTATGGAAAATTGGATTGGATCTATTTGTTGTCATACTTTTTATTTGTCTACTCAGAACTCATCATTACTGTTATGAGATTGGTCCCTTAGTCACTTGTCTGTAACCAGCATTGATCTTCATTTGGGCATACAAGCATTAATTTTCAATTGTTCTTTGATTGAAGGATATTGCAACTCATCTCCAAGTTCCCCTCCTGGAAATCTTAAAATTCCCTTATCTTTTACATCATAAACAACTGGCAGACCTATTTACAAGAGGACTTATAGCTTTGAATGTGTGCGGCTGTCCCCTAAAACTGGAAGACCTTGAAGAAAAGTTACCTGGCACTTACTTGCTGTTGGTCCATCATGACCCAGAGGTACATTGTACAAGACAGTCTTTGTTATATTTAGCATAAAATGTATCCCTCTGATGGTAGACACAATGATTGAGAACGCAAAGTGCATCACTGGGCCTATGCTCCACAACTTTGGAAAGTTATGGGTGATATCTGTTCTCAAAATGTTGAAAAAGAATATTGGATGCAACCCTTGAGTACATGTAGAAAGTAATTTAACTGTTACTGCTTTCTCCAGGTACGTGGCTGGGCAGTTAGGAGTGTGAGGGGCCAGGGTCTCATAAATCAAGACGACTATGATGTCCTAAAGCAGGTGATCGGGTGGATGATTGAAGTGGTGGAGTTTAATTTGTTTGAGAACTCTGATCTTGTGGCATCAGAGAGCAAACCTTTTGAATTCACGAGCCTGCCTACTCATATCTTCATTAAACTGACCATTAAAGAGTACTGGCTTAGTTTGTTTGTGCTGTTGCGGCAAATGGATGTGGAGACAATGCAGTCATGTTTTATGAGCTTTACTGGACACCATGAGTTTTTGAATATAATTGTGTTACCTATGGAAAATCAAGAACACATGGAAGGTATTTTGTTTATCAGGTTTTGACCTTTTCAATAACAATTTTTATGTACAGCTCTGTGAAATATGACCAGCCTACTTTCTAAAAGTATTACAGGAGTTTTACAGGGAAGGTTAGGCATAATAGGAAACCATAGCAATGGTACAACCTTGAAAACACCCTTTATTTTGGATTTAAGTGCTTGCAACTCTAAGACAAATTCAGGGATTCCCATTTTTATTATCAAATTGTGATCAGCAATGCATGTTAAGAAAGAATTTTTTGCAAAGTTTAAAACACATATTAAGTAGAGGGAATAAGCCATCTCAAATTTTTGAAAACTTAAGTGCCTAGTATCTTGTTCAATTTGTAAGTAGCTATACATCTAACAATGTCATTCTAGGATTCCCTTTTCAATTCTTAGTTTTAAGTGCACTTTATCCACAGATGATGATGGAGCTTTTTGGCCAAGGTTACAGTGCTTCATAGTCTTGCTTGAGAGACTTGGAATCAGAAATATCTGGCAGATCTCAGTTCACAAACCTGATCAACTGTTTACAATTATAACTCAAAACTATTCCTTCCATAATGCTGTTATGCACTGGCAAAACAATGAAGATGGAGAGGCCTCAAGCCAAGAGATGTTTGTAGATTTGCGTGAAACCAGAACGGTTTCAGGTTCATCTGATACAAAACACTCCAGCCAATTTTATAAAACTGCACTGGCTTGGTTCCAGCCTTTTGTTCAGTCTGTTCTTGATTTTGACTCCTGTAATGACTGCCTGTCACTTGTAATTACTTATCTTCACAATCTGGCAGGTAAGTTTCATTACCAATAGCATGGTATACTGAAGCTGCTATCAGGCAAAAAGTTCTGGTCAAAAGTAATTTCACAACTTCTTGCAAAACATTTAGTAATACCAATTATCAGTATGTCTATATAAAGACTCTCTGTCAAACAGCATGCATTGTGTGCTGCGACTCGAATTTCCTTTGGTACAAAAACCTTCGTTTCAAAGTGTCTTATAGTAGCTATTTCAATATGTGATAATCTTAGCAATCTAACTTGATTTTCAAACAGGTATCATTCTTCATCATCAGTTTCAATTTCACTTTCTTGGGTAGGGTGATTATTTTAGGAGAAAAATTGGTAGTAAATTATCTGGTACAATTTGAGAAGCTAAACAATGGCCGGTACAATGTGATTTACTAAGAACCCCTGTGGAAGGTTTGGACCATACAAGCTCTTAAGAGAAAATCTCTCTGGGATCGGTGGAGAAACAGTAGGGAAGACACAAGAAAAAATACTCCCATCGGCTCAAGTGAATGACAGAATTTGGTTGTATTTTCCTTCGTATTGCTATCATTGCCCGGTGTCATTGCTAGCCTTCAGAAAAGCTATTGCATTGCTTTGTAGATTTATCCAATGTTAAGTCACCTGCGGCGAGGCTTCTTCAAATTTATTTGTTGATAAATAGTGTTTTCTCTGCTGCATTTATTCCTGGAGAAGAAAACCTTTCTTGCAAAAAAGGCAAACTGTAAACATTTTAGTATCTGTACATGACCAGTTATCAATAATAACTCTGTATGGATTCCAAAGCTTGCCAAAGCACATAATGAACTCACCAACAAAAGAAAAATGTCTGTTCATTGCCCTTATTCTATGTCATGTCTGAGACTGTATTCTAAGCAAAGAAAGTGCTTTATAGTCTGTTTATAGATATACTTATGAAAGAAAATAAAAAAGTAAATTTATTTTGTGGAGTTGTTTCAATTCGCAGCATGGTGCCTATGGGGGCAGGAACTTTTTAGGGGACATTTGTCACCTCATGACGCGAGGCCAGAATTTCAAAATACAGTAGTTCTAAATCAAATGGCATTTAAAGCAAACATATACCAGTTTTACCAGTAAATTATATTTGAGGCCACTGAATGCCCCAAATCCTTCTGATTTTCTGACGCTGTCTTCAGTGACAGAATCAAAACAAAAACAAATGCTTGCAATGCATGCCGTTTGACAGAGAGTTTTTAACCATAATTATAATAATAAATTCAGCAAAGTTGCTTTTCAAGTAGCTCTGGCCTAAAAACAGAGGCAAGGTTTATTTTGGATGTGTGATTGGAGACTTGTAAAATAACTCTAAGTTCAGGCTTGATTACCATTCTCTGTTCACAGAAGGAGCCCACCCCACACTCAGATATGACTTTGACAAATGAACTTTTGTGAAAGGTGCTTACAAGCAATGTACAAGCTATTTATTGTTACATATTCTACGTGTAACTGTAACATACAGATTACAGGTTTGGAGTGTAAAAGTGCACTTGCAGTATATTTTTATAGCCCTTTTCATGGTTATTTTTTTTTCTTATTTGCTCGGTAATGCAATCCAATGCGAATGGGAGGCAATCTAGGGTAACTAACTTTTGTAGTTCTGCCCACAATTCCCCTGCATCCATGAAACATAATAAAAAAGAAAAGTTAACCATGAAATAGGCTACAATATGAGGTCTATAAATTTTCTCAATTCCACTGCAGGTGGCTGTTCCAGTGAAAATACCTTCAAGTCAGATGTGCAGTCTGTATTATTAAGCATCATTCATGAACTGTTGGTTAAAAGGAAGTTTGAGCTCCTGGTGCCCACAGTTCATGTTTGGTCCATTGATGTGGTGGATGTGGTAATTTTTGAGTTGGGGGACAAAAAGGTAACAAAAAATGCCAGGTCTTTTATCTCTCCAGCTGAATATTGTTGATCTGAAATTTAAAAAAGGTAGCCTAAGTCTTCAGTTATAGAAACACAAGTCATGTACTTGTGGCTTTTGTTAAAGTTAAATTTGTACCCTAAGTATTGTGATTGTTTTTCATTTTTCTGATTATCCCAGCATCATTTCCCTACTACTAGAAGCTAAAACACTTGGGGCCAAATCATTCACTCGCCAGCCTCACTTTGGCCAGTCAAGCCTGTTCCTTAGCCTTACATTCCAACTGCCTTTTTACATTAAAGTAGTTACCTCTTTTCATCAAGGTGCAGCACTGACCCATAACATGGAAATGGGAGAATTGTTCTCTTGTTTCAGGTGCCACTAGAGAGTATGGATATTTTAAGAGTGAAAAGACAAATGTGTTCCAAACAATTCTGAAAATTTAGTGTAGAGTTTCTGTGCCTCTACTGCCTCTACTGCCTCCATGTAGCACTGNTCCACTCCACTCCACTCCACTCCACTCCACTCCACTCCACTCTATGCGATCTTCTAATGTACTCTACTCTACTTTATATGGTACTGTTCTACTCTACTGTTCTACTCTACTGTACATGGAGGTGTAGAGGTCGTACAGGAGCCGAAAAACTCTACGCTAATTTTCCAGAATTTTTTGTGCTGGGTATATAAAAAGGAAAGATCCATTGTGCTAACAATAAAAGACACATTGCTTAGCTGCTACATGTAACTCTGAAAATTCATGTTAGATTGTTGAAGTTACCCGAAGGCTGCTTCAGCATCTGCTAAAGGATAGTCATCGTCGGGGAAATAGGCAAGCGCTCAAGCACTGGCAAAAGTTTAGTTTGCCAGGACCCAAGCAACTATCAACAGAAGATCAACACGAGATCATTTCACTCCTGGTGCAAAGTTTTGAGGTACTAGTGATGTCTTGACCATTAATTACATATCCATACTTATAACTAGATATTCTTGTCACTAATGTAGTGTGCATAATTCACCAAAATAGGTATTGTGGTATATTTTTATCATTTTAGTCCAGCATTACATACTCTTACTTTTGTTCAACTGTGACCGAAAATATGGCTGAAAAATTGTGCATGCATGCCCTAATATGGCCAGAAAGTGAGCTATTGTTAGAGGTTGCTAGGCAACCCATACTATGCTTGCAGTGGAAAAAAAATGTGCAGAAACTGACATCCCTTAGGCAGTTGGAAGGGGGTGATTAGGAGTGTAGCCCTCAAATTGTTCATGGTGACTCCAACCTTGTTGACTGTGAGTCAACTGCAAGAATACCCCTATTGTATTATATTGTTTTTTTCTCTTGGGAAGGGGATCCTCTTGTAATATATTCTGTTTTCTCTTGTTAGAAGGATACCCCTATTGTGATATACACTTTTGTGTCACTCTTGTATCCTGTAGGCTCAGCATAACTCTGCTTTTCAAGTTACCCTTCCAACTCACAGCTCTAAAGCTCCAGTCGTTGGCTCCAGTTGCAGTACTAAAGCTTCTCTAGTTCTCCCAAATAGCAGCTCTAAAGCTACAGTGAGTTTCAGTACTCCAGTAGGTTTCAGCACTAAAGCTCCAATGGCTCACTCAAGG